ATGCATCTTAAAGTCATTATACTGAGTGAAAGAAGCTGTGCATAAGGTTGCACACTGTTGATTCTGTTTATATGACATTCTTTTAATCTTTTTTTTTTTTTTTAGTTATAGGTGGACACAATACCTTTGTTTTGTTCATTTATTTTTTGTGGTGCTGAGGATAGAACCCAGTGCCTCATATGTGTGAGGCAAGTGCCCTACTGCTGAGCCATAGCCCCAGCCCCTTATATGACATTCTTTAATTAGTGTTTCATAGAGGTTATAGAAGAGGGTGTAACTATAACTGGCTATTTTGACTTTTTGAGTGAAGAAACTGTCCTGTAATCTGAATTGTCTTGGTATTTACACAGATCTATAATTAATTAAAATTAATAAAGTGTACCTAAAAATTGCTTTTATGGTATAATTAAACTAGTGGTGGTGTCATTCATTTGCCAAAACATGTAGGCTTTCTGCAAAGTACAGTGTAGGAGAAATGTCTGAAGCACTGATGAACCATCTCATAGTTTACTATATTTGAATAGAAAAACATTCTCAGACCAAGAGAATTCTATGGTAATTCTGCTAGTAAATGCTCAGTTAATTAATTCCATTGAGGTTGATGGGAGCCTCTAGAAGCCAGAGAATATACACTTCAGTTTTAATTGTCATGCTGTCAGCTGATAATTGGGTTCCAAAACTGTATGTTAACATTTTTCTACCAGATCTGACCTTCTTTTTTTATTATTTTTTAGTTCCCATCATTGTATATTTATTTGTTTTATTTCATTTTTTTCAACTTTATTTAATTTAGACTTTCTTTTTTTCAGCTTTATTTCCGTTAACATGCATCATGTATCTGTTTCTCAAGCCAGGAACTAAGAAATTGTCAATGACTCTTGCTTACTTCTCAGTAACTCTTGTCGTATAGATTCTAACTCCTTAGTATGTTTCAGAACAGATTCTTATTTTTTATTCTCATCAGCACTGATTAAATCATCATGTCACATGGATTCTAGAATGGCCACAAAACTATTTTTTTCTGTTCAACTTAAATTCATTCTCTGCACTGCAGCTAGAATGATATTTCTTTAATATAAATATAATCTCAAATTTATATTTATATTAATTTAATATAAATCTCAATTTGTCACTTCTTAAAAGTCTTCAGTCTTGTTTACCTGGGTATATCCAATATCCCAGAATATTGTTTTTTATATATTGGTGTTTTATTTGTCAAAATTTCGAGAGGATTTTTTTGTGTTTGATGAGCAGAATCAATCCCAACTCTTTCTAACATTGGTTTGATATCTAGACTAGTGTTGAATCATGGTGTCGAGAGTATCTGAAGAGATTTATTTTTCCTCAGTTTCTAGGAAGAACAGGGCAAGCACCCAAGTTGATCTAGAATGGCTTGTGTGAAGGGAGGGGCATGGGTGGCTCTGGTTTTTATTGTGGATAGGGGTGGACCAGGTTGAGGGTTCCCACTTGCACAATGGGGTTTCATGAGTTGAATTTTCCTGCTGTTGTCAAGGGAGGAAAACTATCCGACATGAATTTTTTAAAAATTTATTTATTTTTATTTTTTAGTTGTAGTGGATACAATATCTTTATTTCATTTTTATTTGGTGGTAAGGATCAAACCCAGTGCCTCATTCATGCTAGGCGAGTACTACACCACTGAGCCACAACCCCAGCCCCCAACATGAATTTTTACTATTGAATAAAACTAATAAAATCACTTTGATTGTATTACAGAAGAGTGTAAACACATTATCTGACATAAGGGAAGATAATACCAATCTTTGGTTTGTTGCTTTCCAGATATTTAAATGTACCTTTAGTCATTAAAGATGTAGTCATATTGTGTGTATGTAAATCTCCTTCTTCTCTACTGTTTTCATTTTATAGAACATCTTCCATATGTAATGATTTATTGATAAGCACTCAATACTGATGTTTTTCCCTCTCTCCCTAAAATTCTGTGTTTTGCTTCCTTTTCTGCTAGGTTTTCTCGTTAACTTCTCAAAGTTGTATCATAATTATTTTTTCACTTTTACATTCATTAAAACAAGCTCATTCCTATTCTTTAAGGTTATTTTTTAAAAACAAAAAATTAGAAAGTGAATAGTACAGAAGCCCATGTACCAAAACAAATTGTAGAGTTTTGTTAGATTTGAAAATTAGACCCCTTTTTTGCAGTGGTCAGAGTGCCGCTTTTTTTGGCCATGTGACTTAGCCATCCCTACTCTGAGACAGAGTTTATTGCTTTTGATTCTTTGTCCTGGCCTTAGTTGTCAGTTCTGGCCTGGAACACCCAATACCATCTTTTTCCACACATACTCAAACATACATTCACAAATAGTCAAATGTATATAGAGGATTTTTTAATTTTATGTGTGTGTAAAATTACACATGTCATAATGCTTGTTGCAGAAATTAAAAAAAAAAAMMAAAMCMMMA